CCAGGAGAGCCCCAGCCGCCAACGTGGCGAGGCTGAGGGGGGCGCACCGCGGCTGCCGGCCGCGACCATGGCTGAGGGGCCTGGCGCTGCTGCGACTGGCGCCAAGGCGCGCTGCCGCCAGGAGCGCTCGACCACCACGACGAAGCCACCTCGCGGCGAGCCCACGGGGCATCGGTGCGTCCCATGGCGCGGCGCGGCGGACTGCGGGGAACGCGCAAGCCAGAAAGGCCCGTGCACACATAATGCTGTCCTGAAGTTGGTGTGCACAATGCCCGCGCTCGGGCACAGGACAGCTTCGCGCGGAGCAGGAGGAGGACGAGGAGGAGTAGGAGGAGGAGGAGGATGAGGAGGAGGAAGAGGAGGACGAGGAGGAGGAGGGGAATAGAAAGAAGGAGGGGGATGGAAAGTAGGAGGAGGCGGAGGCGGAGGAGAAGGAGTGGGAAGGGGAAGGGGGGAAAGAGGGAGGAGCAGGATTTATTGTCGGGGTCACGCTTGACCGAACCATGTTTAGCCGCCCTTGCTAGGCCTGCTTTGCTGCTCCTTTCTCGGCAATCCGAGCGCGCAGCGTTGCGAGCCTGTCGATGTGGGTGGCATGTGCAGCCACGGATTGTAGCCTGGAGGCAACGACGAATGCATCTCCCTCAGGCCCAGCGAGAAATTCTTGCTGAGCGCCCAGTCCTCCCTTTCAGGATGCAATCTTCTCTTGAAGCGACGCAATTCTGCGGCGCCAAAGTCGCTCATTTCCTAATCCGAACGGGCTCTGGGACAAGGCTGGGCCAACAAGTGAAGCACGCGTGGGGCAAAGTGACCACAGAGCATGCAACAATAACAGGAACTGTTCTTGATCATCGAATTGCGTGCTGGCCAACTGGTGGCCGTGCCCAAGGCACGAGCTCAAGAGCTCCTGGACTAACTACGACAACCTGCCGCAACTCATTTCGGGCCGATCGTGGATGGCTTCCCCGTAAAACTTCGGGCAGCCTATGCACCTGTGGCCGCGCGACAGGGAGGGGGGTCCAGCGCGGGTCCGAGGAATCCGCGCAGACCTCCAAGATGATATGCTGAAGTCGAGCATGTCCCCTATGGGCGAATTGTGGGGAAAACCAACGAGTTGTTCATTGCTCTATATATATAATGTGTAAAACATCCCCGTATTGTTTTCCACTACGTTTGGATACTCCTGTTGTTAAGGGACGTGCTCGATTTAATTCCATGTGTATGTGATTGTTTGGTCCCCGAACAAGGGGCAAAACAAGGGAAGGCACGGCACTGCCGTGAGTCCACAAAAACAACCCTGCAAACGCACGGCGGTTGGGCCCTATAAGTATGTGTGTACACACACATGCACACACACACACACACACACACCAGGCGACCGGGAGCCAACCCAAGTCCATGAGGGCCCCCCCACCACCATCTTTTGTAAAACAAACCATACAAAACACAATCTGCCCCCACCATCCCTTGTTAAACAACGATACGAACACACACTCTGTTTCCAAATTCGGTGCATGCGCAGCGAAACCGGTGCGGCCTCCCCCCACCATCCCTTTCAAAAAACAAAACAGAATACACTTGGCGGCGGCGGCGGCGGCTGCGGCGAGCGGCTGCGGCGGCTGCGGCGGTGGCGGCTGCGGCGGCGGCGGCGGCGGGGGCGGCAGCGGCGGTGGCGGCGGCGGTGGCGGCGGCGGTGGCGGCGGCGGCGGCGGCGGCGGCGGCGGCCAGCGCGGCGGCGGCCAGCGCGGCGGCGGCGGAAGCGGCTGACAGCAACGGCGGCGGCGGCGGCGCGGCGCCAGCGGCGGCGGCGGCGGCGGAGGCGGCGGCGGCCGCGGCGGCGGATTGGCCCCCAGCAGCAGGCCATCCAAAGACGACTACTGCGTATGCTGCGGCTCGGGCCAGGCTCGAGTGCTACGTATGTGCTGGGAGGGCGGGTGGGAGTGAGCGAGACGACTTGCGGGCGGGGAGGGCGTCTTGACTCCTCCCTTTTTTTCCCTCCCCTGAACCTGGACGGGGGGGTTTCGCGAGTCGTCGGAGCGTCCCAAACGGCCTCGGCGAGGAAACCGAAATCATTGGTGTTACTTGGGTTTTGACCCCATTTTGGCCTCCTGGGGGGGGACTGTAATCCGCAACCCACCATCCTGTGATCGATCTCGTCCAAGATGGCCCAAAAATGGCCCCCAACGCTCCCAAGGGTGCCCCAAGAGGGCCCCAAGAGGTGGCCAGGAAGCCCCAAGAGGCTCCTAGGATGCCCCCAAGAAGCTCCAGAGACCCCCGAGAGGCCCCAAGAGACCCCCCAGAGGCACCCAAGATGCTCCAAGAGGCCTCGGCGAGAATGCCAAATCATTGGTTTTACTCAGGTTTTAGCCACATGTTGGCCTCTTGGGGGGGGGGCACTGATTAAGATGACCCCAAGAGCGCCTGGGAGAGCCCAAAATGACCTTCAAGATGGCTCAAGATATCCCACGATGTCTCATAATGGCTTCCTCTGTGTGCTGCCCACTTCCCTGATCGAGGCAATTCCTTGAATGGGCTGGTGGGGTTCGTTTTGGTCTGCGGGCTCGCGAAGCAGGTCGAAAGCCGTCCGAACACTAGTCGGGCCGCGACTGGGTAGCAAGAAAAGAGAGGCAAGCGAAGCGAGCGCGCGGGCAGCCACTCACAGCTGGTGAGGATTCGCGAAGCGTCAATTATTCATTAGCGCGAAAGGCTCGCGGAGGAGGAGGGAGAGCGACGACGACGACGACGACGAAAAGCAAGAGCCGGAACACATTCCCGAATGGCCTACACACCAGAAGAGGCCGGCCAAACGAAAAGCGCAGACGTGTCAGCATGAATACGGAGAGGCGGACAAGGGAGACGAGGATGAACTATCCCGGCAAAGCAACCTAACAGCGATGTGTAGAAGCATATCTGGAAGCATTCCCTTTAAGATTCTTATGAAAATCCAGTTGTAGAATTCTGCTGTTCTCGCAGTCGTAGTCGCATTCGCGATGACAGTCGCAGCGGCAACGGCAGTCGCAGTCACAGCCTCAACCTCAGCCTGCCTCAGCCTCAGCCTCAGCCTGCCTCAGCCTCAGCCTGCCTCAGCCTCAGCCTCAGCCTCAGCCTCAGCCTCAGTCTGCCTCAGCCTCGGCCTCAGCCTCAGCCTGCAGCCTCAGCCTCAGCCTCAGCAGCATCAGCCTCAGCCTCAGCCTCAGCCTGCCTCAGCAGCCTCAGCTGCTCAGCCTCAGCCTCAGTCTGCCTTCAGCCTCGGCCTCAGCCTCAGCCTCAGCCTCAGCCTCAGCCTGCCTCGGCCGCAGCATCAGCCTGCCTCAGCATTCAAAATGTGGCCCAGGAGCGGAATTCTGGGAACTAGAAAAACACGAAGTGGCCTACAGTTGGCTCCGGGCATTCAAAATGTGGCCCGGGAATGAAGTTCTGGGAGGTCGAAGAGCACGAAGTGGCCTACAGTTGGCTCCGGGCATCCAAAATGTGGCCCGGGAATGGAGTTCTGGGAAGTCGAAGAGCACGAAGTGGCCTACAGTTGGCTCCGGGCTTTCAAAATGTGGCCCGGGAATGGAGTTCTGGGAAGTCGAAGAGCACGAAGTGGCCTACAGTTGGCTCCGGGCATTCAGAATGTGGCCCGGGAATGGAGTTCTGGGAGGTCGAAGAGCACGAATGGTGTAACTGTTTGCGAAAAACGAATGCGGCGGCAGCCGCGGCGGCAGCCGATCCGGGTCCCGCCCCGACCCCCCTGTGGAGTCATCTGCTGCTCTCTTTTGAGACCACTAGAAACCTATCAGCAAAAGCTGTTAGGTAAAAAAAACGTGAAGATCAATGTTCGAAGCTCTGCGCAAATATGTTGGATCGGAGCTGGACCCCCCTCCCAGGCGCGCAAAGCGCGCCAGGGGCGGCGCCAGAGGCGCCACCAGGGGGTCCCAGCACCACTCAAAAAAATCCGCGCGGAGCTCCGAAAGGTTCTGTTTACGCCGTCTTCTACGAGAGAAAGGAGGACCCTGAGCCTGAGATCCGACGCTGCGGAAAAAAGCAACATCGCGAAAAATTAAGACCAGAGCCCTAGACACAATATCTCTGCGGCATCTTTCGAGCCAGATCGTCCTGTGAGGGTCCCAGGGCCCGACATCCTGCGAAAGAGCACATTGTGGAAAAATTGCAACGCCCATGCCTCAGGAGGAGGAGGAGGAGGAGGAGGAGGACAGGCGGCAGGACACACCGACTAGAGAGTGGGCGACAAGGAGGCTTGGTACGCCCGAAGTGGGTACAGAAAAACTGGGCACGATGCCCAACAGCAAATGCCCAAAACCGACGGCGGCCGCTGTGGGGCAGGCGGCCCCTGTCTCGAGTGGACAACGTCCGCGGGGACGCCCACGGCGAACTGCTGTCGGCCTGCGTATGCCCAGTCTTTCCCTACCCACCTCGATCGCCCCGAGACGAGGGTCGGCTCCACGTGACAGAGCGAAACTGGGCAAGAGGGACCTCTGTCGGAAGTTGGGCGAGGGCTAGCAAATCCGCGGCTGCCAAAACGATCTTCCCGGAAGGAGAAAACAATTTCCCGGAATCAGGCTCAGCGCACGGAATAGCAACCGGGCTGCTTCCCAGAAGGAAATGAGCAATTTCCCGGAGCTCCGTTTTAGCAGCCACGGGTTTGCCGGCCGTCGCCCGGCTTCTGCCTCTGGTGGGCAGCTCCTTCGGGGGGGCGCGAGGAGGCGAGACCCGAGCGCGCAGGCCGCTGCTGCCGCATCGCCTTCGGCGAGCTGGGGGGCCCTTTGGGCCCGCACCAGAGGTCACTCCGGCGAAAGCAAAGGTCGCGCCCACGTGAGGTCGACCCGCAACGAGGCCTCCTCCTCCTCCTCCTCCCTCCTCCTCCTCCCTCCTCCCTCCTCTCCTCCTCCTCCTCCTCCCTCCTCCTCCTCCTCCTCCTCCCTCCTCCTCCCTCCTCCTCCTCCTCCTCCCTCTTCCTCCCTCCTCCCTGCTCCTCCCATGGGCTCGGTGGGCTCTCCCACCGGCGCTTCGTTGCCCGAGTAGGCCATCAGGGCCGACTGGCCGCCGCCCTCCTGGCGCGAGAGCGGCAGGAGGGCCCGGGATCGCATCGACGCGTCGGATCGGCGATCGAAACGGACTGCAGGGGTCGGCCTGACCCAAGGAACGATAAATGTCGAGTGCTGCCAGAAATGCCCCTGGCTCAAGGTGCCCCCAGCTTTCCGCTCCATTTTGGAGCACCTGGGGCCCTCTGGGCCTCATGAGGGCTGCCCCTCTGGAGGCTGTGGGGGCCTCCTCGGAAATCCTGGGGGCACCTTGGGCCAGGGGCACACTTCTGGCAACACCCGAAAATAAAGAGCGAAGCCCCTTTTTTTCCCAAGGAAGTCTACGAAGTCCGAAGGAACGGACCCGCGCGTCCAAATTCTGAAGGAGCACCAGGGGGGCTCGCCGCCAGAACGACCGAGCCCCTCTTGAAAAGTAAGTGTTCCTTATTCAAGCTGGAGCCTGTACCTGCCAGACCACCGCAGCCTAGCCCTAAGACCCAAATTTCGGGTGGGGAGGGGTACGGGTTCAATAATTGGGTGTTTTCGTCAGTGTTCCCCGACGCCCCCCCCCCACTGGGAATGGAGGGCAAAGTGGGGCCTTCGGGTTGGGTTGGGGTGGTTTGGTGGGTGGTGGTGGGAAGTGGATCGCATCGGCGGAAACAGCCGAGTCAGGAAGTCGATTCGGCGGAAATCGGCAGGCCAGCAGGCCTCTGTTGAGAAATCGGGGCCAAGGTCCGAGTCCGAGGTCGAATCGAATCGGAATGGGGAGCCGTCGAAATCGCATCGCATCGCATCGGGGGAGCCGAAGAGAGCCCTGGCTGCGAGGGGATGTATCCCTATCCACCGCCTGCGGAACCGACGCCCTGGCCCTGGGACCCCAGCGGGCGGTGGACATCGATGTAGCTTGGCCCCAGGGAGGCTGAAGGCGTCCACATCCACCGCCTGCCGAGGTCCCCGACGAGTGATCCCCAGGGTGGGCATGCTTTATTCTGGGCTTGGCCATCCGGCCGAAAGGGTAGCGAGGGAGGGTCTGGGTCTGGGTCTGGGCTGCTGCCCAGCCGATCTGCGTTCACCAGTCGCGCAGGCAGACCTGGGGGAGCGGGGTCCCGACCAGTCGCCACAAGCAGCCGCCGAGAGCAGCCAGCATCTGGCCTACGCGGGGGGGGAAGGAGGGCGGGGGCGGGGGCGGGGGCCCGCGCCGATCGGCGAAACCAAAAAAGCAAAGAAACGACGAAGACAGCGACAAGCCACAGCACAGCAACAATAGAAGCAAGAACAGCGAGAGAAAACAAAAAGCAAACAAAAAAACAGGCGGTGGTTATGTGCAACATCCCCGCCTCAGGCTGGAGCGGCGCCGCGATCCTGGCGACAGCGCGGCGGGCGGCGCTCCGCGGCCACCGGAGCGAGGGCGGCGGACCACGCCAGGCCGGCTGTGGCACGCCGCCCAGGCAGCCACGGCGGAGGCGCTGCTTCCCCGCGGCCGCTTCCCCGCGGCCCGCTTCTTAGGGGGGGGCCTCGCCGGGCCCCGGAAAGCCGCCCAGGAAGACGGCTCGGGAGGCGCCGCCGGCCTCCCGGGGGGCCCTCCTCCGTTCTGACGTGGAGCGGACTGGGATCCTAGGCTTTGCAGCGTCTGCGAGAAAAAATCGCACGGGAGTGCCGACCGGGGCCTCTGGGCCAAGACAGGACGTCTGACAGGCGCAGCAGAAAAAGGAGCGCCACGGAGACTGGGAAAAGATGCCTTCCCTTGTAGACGCAGATTGTACGCCAGACCCTCCTCCTCCTCCTCCTCCTCCTCCTCCTCCTCCTCCTCCTCCTCCTCCTCCTCCTCCTCCTCCTCCTCCTCTGGCGGCCTCGGTACGGACCACTACAGCAGGAGCGGGAGGCCTGTGCAAGAGTGCCAGCCCCCCACGGAGACGGGGTTGGAGTACTGGCGAGAGTGCCCGCACAAGGAGGACACGCATAAACCCAAGACGCGTCAGCGGGGGGAGAGAGGTTGGCTTGATTAGGAACAAAAAGGACTCCTAACCCCTTGGGAGGGGACCTGAGCAAGGAGGGCCAAAGAAAATTAGGGATACGGGGTCTGTTCTGCGGATAGTAGCCAGAGCGCCTAGAAAGGTCGAGGCTGGCCAGGGAGACAGGCTGTCTCAAGGAGCCGTGTGGAGCAGCGCCCAGCGCATCGCCTGGTCCTCCTCGTCCCTCTCGTCCTCACCCTCCTCGTCCCTCTCTCTCCTGCTCGCCCTCATTGTCCTCATCATCCTCCTCCTCCTCCTCCTCGTCCTCGTCCTCGTCCTCCTCCTCCTCCTCCTCGTCCTCGTCCTTGTCCTCGTCCTCGTCCTCCTCCTTGTCCTCGTCCTCCTCATCCTCCTCGTCCTCGTCCTGCTCCTCCTCGTCCCTCCTCGCCGTGTACTATCATCCTCCCTCCTCGCCCCTCTCCTGCTCTGCTGCCTCGGCTGCTCCCCTTGCTCGGCCTCCCCGAGGCGCCGGTGAGAAGGGAAGGCCTCCCAGGCAGCTGCCCGGAAACGAGCGGGGACCTCTGGGGGGGCCGTGTGTTGGACGAGCGCGTTCGGCCACTCGCAAGGCAGCTACGGTCGAAACGCTGTCACAAGGAACGAGGCCCCTTTTCTCCGCAACTTAAGCTTCGATCTCGCATCGAAGGCCTGAGAAAGACCAAAGACAAGCTGTAAAACAACAAGTGGCACGCGTGCCATGGCTCTTGCACAGAAAGGAAGGGGGAGGAGGATGTGGAGGAGGGGGGGAGAGAGGGGACGAGAAATCGGAGAAGGAGGGTTTAGAGAGGGCCGCAAGAGGGGCTTTAGAGGGCGAGCGTGAGAAGGCGCTAATGGCCGTCCCCCACAAGATGGCATCAAAGACCTGCAACATGCTCCGAAGAAACCTCCAACAGGCACCCAAGTGAGGACAGTGGGACAGTGGTGGGGACGGTAGTGGTGGGACAGTGGTGAGGGCGGTGGCGAGGACAGTGGTGGGACAATGGGACAGTGGTGCAGTGGGGAGAGTGGTGGGGACAGTGGGGACACTGGGACAGTGGTGGGGACAGTGGGGACAGTGGGACAGCACAGTGGGACAGCGGTGGGGACAGTGGGGACAGTGGGGACAGTGGGACAGTGGCGGGGACAGTGGGGACAGTGGGACAGTGGCGGGGACAGTGGGGACAGTGGGGAGAGTCGGACCGTGGTGGGGACAGTGGTGGGGACAGTGGTGGGGACAGTGGGGACAGTGAGACACTGGTAGGGGCACTGGTGGGGACAGTGGGGACAATGGTGGGAACAGTAGGGACAGTGGGACAGTAGTGGGGACAGTGGGACAGTGGTGGGGACAGTGGGACAGTGGTGGGGACGGTGGCGCTGGGGACAGTGGTGTGGAGACAGTGGGACTGTGGTGGGGACAGTGGGGACAGTGGGACAGTGGCGAGGACGGTGGTGGTGAGGACAACGGCCAGGGCGGTGGTGAGGACGGTGGTGGGACAATGGGACAGTGGTACAAGGACAGTGGCGGGGACAGTGGGGACAGTGGTGGGAACAGTGGGACAGCTCAGTGGGACAGCGGCGGGGACAGTGGGGACAGCGGGACAGTGGTGGGGACAGTGGGGACAGTGGGGACAGTGGTGGGGACAGAGGGGACAGTAGGTAGAGTGGGACCGTGGTGGGAACAGTGGTGGGAACAGTGGGGACTGTGCGACAGAGGTTGGGGCATTGGTGGGGACAGATGGGGGCAGTGGTGGGAACAGTCGGGACAGTGGGACAGTGGTGGTGGGGACGGTGGTGCTGGGGACAGCTGTGACGGCGGTGGTGAGGACTGTGGTGGGGACCCAGGAGTCGTTTGCCAGCGGTGAGTGGGGAGGGGTCGGGGGGGGGAGGGAGGTTCGCACCGGCAGTGACCCCTCGGGTTCTCCGAGGGGAGGGGTTAGGAGGGAAGGGGGTTTTGACGGAGGAAGGGGGGGGGGTCGAGCAGGGCGAGGGGGTTTTCGGAGGGGGGGACCCCCCCAGTTCCGGAGGAAGAAGGGGAGAATTTGCCACAGTAAAGCAACGGTGGATCACGCTCTCTCGGATGTTCAAGCCCTTGTCTTCCAACGGGGCACTTCCCTCAGTGAAAAGGGATCCTTGCAGGAACCTATGCAGAGGGAACTTGGAGGGAGGGTTCATTGCAATATCTTTAATGAGTCTTGGGTTGACACTGGTCCTCCTCATCATCATCATCCTGCTCCTCCTCCTCATCCTGCTCCTGCTCCTGGCTCTCCCTTCCGCTTCCCCATCCACCTTCATCACCCCACTTGCCCTCACCCTCTCCCTTCAACCCCGCCCGCTTGCCCCACTATCACCCCCCAGCCCCTCCCTCTCACGTTCTTCCCTCCCTCCTCATCCCGCAAGTGGCTCACAACAACTCTCGTTTGCCATAGAAGGCTCGGGGGGTACATTTTCCGAGCCATGTCAGTGGGCGCCCGACAGATACAAAACAGGGGTCACGTTGCTGCACACCCTGAGGGTCCAGCAGCGTGGCGCTCTAGGCGGGTCCAAACTGGACCTCGCCCTCCACGGGTGCCAGCGCCACACTCGTAATTCTGATGCACGACTGGGAGGTCCAGCGGAGCGGCATGTTAAGAGGATCCGAACGTAACTAGACCTCGCCTTCCCTGGGTGCGGCCAAGCGCGCATTCATCGCCATTTTGACGCGCCCCTGGGAGGTCCAGCGGAGAGGTGCCCTTCGCGGAATCGAACTCGATCTCGTAATCCCTCTGGGTGCTGCCGGGTGTGCAGCTGCGGCTGCGTTGCTGCACCCTTGGGGGGTCCAGCGGAGTGCGGACTTACACAGACCCAAATGAAACTTCCACCCAGTTGGATGCTGCCAGGGTTGCAACTGTCGCTGCTTTCCTTCGCCAGTTGGGGGGGTCCAGCCGAGTCGTGTCCCGCGCACGTCCAAGTTAGACCTCACATGCCCTGGGTGATGCCAGGCACGCAGCTGTCGCCTCGCTGCTGCGCCCCTGGGAGGTCCAGCGGAGTGGTGTCCTACGCGCATCCGAACAAGACGTCGCCGTGCCTTTGGGTACTGCCACGCGCGCAGCTGCCATCGCTTTGCTGCGCAACCAGGGGGCCAGCAAAGTGGTGCTGTATGGGGAGCCAGGCTAGAGGGCGTCATGACCCCCCTCGATGCTGCCAGGGGGTGCAGCTGTCGCCACTTTGCTGCGAGCCAGGCCCCCAACGTGGACCCAGGCTGGACCTCGCCCTCCCCCTGGTGCCCCAGGCGTGCAACTGTCGCTGCTCTGTTGTGCCCCCAGGGTCCAGCGAGGCGGTGTCCTACCCGCATCCGAAGGTAGTCTCAACCTGTGAGCTTTTTTAAATGGTGGCATCGTAGAACGTTTCATCATCATCACACAGCCTTCCTCCTCGCCCTGCTCTCCTCCTTGCCGTCGCCCTCGTCCTCCCCCATATTCCCTTTGCCCTCCTATCGTATTATCATGCCTCCTGATCCTCCTTGTGCTTTATTCCTTCTCCCTCCACCGCCGTTCCCCTAGTGTTGCCTCAAATCGGCCCTCCACAACGTGATGAGGAATCTTTTCCTATTGATTCCATGACTGGGCCGTACGCCGAACCCTGTCGTCAATAAATTGGGATGGGTCTGTTACCCGTCGGTCGGAAGAAGTGGGTAGAAGCATGGAGTAGGAAGGCGTTGGAGCAGATTTGGCTTCCGCACGCCCTCCGAGGAGGAGGGAAGAGAGAAAAACGCTCGACGCTTGAAATAGGAAGGCGCCTAAAATATAACGGCCAAAGTGTAAGCATCAGCCGTTACAAACGCATGGCTGCACCTGAGTGGTGCTACTGCCACTTCTGCTACCGGGCGCAGGAGAGAGAAAAGGGAGAGGCAGGAGGGAGGGAAGGGAGGAGTGAGGCGGAGAGGAAGGCGGGAAGAGAAGGAGGCTGATTTTCACCGTCCCCCCCAGAACATCCTGAAAATGCCCGTAAGACACCTGTGTCTGTTCTCTCTCTCTCTCTCTCTCTTCTCTCTTTCTCTCTCTCTCTCTCTCTCTTTTCTCCTTCCCTCCCGCTTAAAATGCGTTTATTCATTGATGTGCTCGAACATGGTCTGGAAGTTTACGAACGGAATGGCAGCAGGAGCAGCAGCAGCAGCAGCAGCAGCAGCAGCAGCAGGGGTAGCTGTAGAGGGATGAGGAGGAAGAGGAGGAGGAGAAGGAAGAGGAGAGGAAGGAGAGGAGTAAGGATGAGCTGAGGAGGAAGAGGAGGGAGAGGAGAAAGAGGATGAGGAGCAGGTGGAGGGGCAAGAGGGGAAGAAGGGCGGAGAAGAGAAGAGAAGGGAGAGAGGAGGGAGGAGAGGAGATGAGGAAGGGAGGAGGGAGGGAGAGAGGCAGGAGGGAGGGGGGAGGAGGGGGAAGAGGCAAGGGGGGAGAAGCGGCGTCCTCCAGGCTCCACATCGTGACGTTGCTGTCCTTGGTGCCGTGCCCGACGAGCAGCCTGTCGGCGGGGGGGTAGGCGCCCCCCCGAGGACGAAGGGCGACGAGGAGAGCGACAAGACTGGCAAGACGGAGCTCACGTTCCTTCCATCATCCAGCGAGGTGGGCAACAACCACGCAGTGGGCAATGACGCACGCCAATGCCACGACCGCGCAGTGGGCAACAGCGCACGCCGGCAGCCGCAGCCAGGCCGAAGCCGCGAAAGCCCACGCGAGCGGAACACACACACACACAAACGTGCTCCTCCGCCAGCGAAGCCACGGCACCGTCGCGACGGCAGGACCCGGTGAGAGCAGAGAGAAGCAGAGGACCCAGGCCCGCCGGCGCGCGAGAGGACTGCGGAAGAGCTGCCGATGAAGGTGTCCGAACTCCTGGCAGGGCTGGAGCTCGAAAGTGGCCGCTGGCTCCTTCGCCAGCGGCTCAACGGCTGGCCGGGCCTGGTGGGCCTGGGGCTGGTGGCGCTTACGAGGACGACGCGCTTCGCGGGCATCCCTGCTGCCTCGGAAATCACGTCCTCATTTAGGGAAACGAACTCTATACACCGACGCTTTTCCCGACCCTGCGCGGAAATTCGCACAGGAACGCGGATTTTGGTGTATACGAGATCCTGGTGTATACATGTTTTGTTGTTTCCCTTGGGAAACGGGGGAAAAGTATACACACACCACCCCGACGTCGTCCCCGATCCTCAAAAAAGTCCTGGGATTGAGAAACCGCCCGCCACTGGTAATGTATATGCTCCAGTTTCCGATCATTGGCACAGGCTCGAAGAGGAAACCATTGCATTGAAAAGTGTTCGGAGCCCCAGGGTGGAGGAGGCGCACGGCCCACCGAGCGTCGGCAGAAGAGCCCGCCGGACAGCGGAGCCCGGGCTGCGCGCAGCTTCTCCTCACGGAGAGGTCCAGAGGCACGCCTGACCGAGGAAGGAAGGCCTGAACGGGTACGAACACCGCTGCGGGACACACGGGTGGCATCAAGTCCATAGAAAGGGCAACGCAGAACGACGACGACGACGAAAAATGATCAGGAGCGGGAGGCGGAGGGCGAAGCACAGGGTGCAGGACGGTCAAAGGACGAACACGTCGACGACGAGCGCTGCGTCGATAGCGCCATTCGGTGAAACCGAAATGCTCAAAACGCAGCGCAAGGAGGTCGCGCCTGCGCCCCCTGGAGAGTCTCTGTTGTTCCCGGTAACGGTCGCTGCCCGGTGACACGGGGGGGGATTGTCGGGCGAAGAGAACTATGCACATGCACCGATCCTGGCAAGGTCCATCCTTGACCCAGGATCGGTGCATATGCCTTCCTGGCCAAGGTAGGAGGGCGTATGCACCGATCCTGGGCTCAGGATGGGCCTGGCCAGAATCGGTGTATGTGCATAGTTCTCTTTCCTCTAGATTGGGGCCCCGGGTAAAACGGTAGCGCTGGGGCGGGGTGGGGCACGTCGGGACGGGGGTTCGCTGCGATCGCAACAGCATGCGTGCGAGCACCGGCACGCTGGAGGAGAACGCCCAGGCCCGCCCCCCCGCCGCACACGACCTTCCGGGGGGGGGGGGCCTGGGCAACTCGACGGTGGACAAACCTCCCTTTAGCAAACCACCCCTTAGTGAAAACGGCCTGGGACCGAGGCCGACGGACCTGGAACCGCAAGAAGGACGGCCGCGACGCCCTCTCGCGAAGCGACAGCGGCCAACTCGATTCGCTCTGCGACGCGTCAGGGCAGGAGGCTTACCAACCCCCGAGCAACGAAGATCGCGCGCCGGAGGATGAGCAAGCAATCTCCTGGCGCTGTGATTCGAAGGAGGAGGGCGAGGAGGAAGAGGACGGGGGAGGAGAAGGAGGAGGGGGAGGGAGGAGGAGGAGGAGGAGGAGGAGGAGGAGGAGGAGGAGGAGGAGGAGGACCCCCCCAACTTATGGTGGTGGTGGTGGAAAACACGCCCACCACCCCAGAACTCTCGGCCCCGATACCCCTCGGGACCGCCTCCCCGCCGAGGAGCGCCGCCGCTCCCTGGGCGCCTCGCGGGCACAGCAGGGCGGCGCCCCGGAGGCCCGCGCCCGGGAGAGGAGGGCGCGCGCCGCGTGTTCTGTGGCCACTGCACCGACCTTGCGGACGCGCCTCGGCGGATTTCGCGTGGACTTCTGTCAATGTCGGCGGTGGACAGACCTCCCTTTAGTAAACCTTTCCTTAGTGAAAACGGCATGGGACCGAAACCGACGGACCTGGACCCGCAAAAACGACGGCCGCGACGCCGTCACGCGAACCGAAAAGGGCCACTTCACTAATCGACGTGTCAGGGTAGGAGGTCTATCCACCCCCGACAATGCAAGACCCCGAAACGGCGAGTGAAAAACAAAGTGCATCTCGCGCGGATGTTTTGCAGTCGTGAGCCCTGGCCCCAGGAGAAGAGCCGCGCGCGAGTCGCTTCGAAATCTGGAGCAAAATCACCCTGGATAATCCGGGCCCATCCCACTGGTTTCCGAACGGAAGCCCCTCTGCGATGTTGGCGCCACGACTTTTGTCGCGACGCCTGGAAATGTGGGCCCTTCTGGTCCTCTCCAGACGTCCTGAGCATCATCCGGCTCACCCCCAGCATACATACCCAGGGCTATACGCTATACCAGCCTGGCCCACGAAGACGCGCCCACGCGTCCAGGAAATTAAGCTCCCCTCCTCGGCTCCACTCACGTGCGCGGAGTCGTACAAGCTGGGAGGCTGGGATTCGCAAGCGCGCTGCGACTGTAGGAAAGAAACGAGCACCAATCTGCAGCAGCCGTCACCTCGGCCGTCACCGTCGTCGCTTCCAGGTCCAGGGGAATCGATCGTCCTCGCCATCGAGGGGGGCCGCTGGTAGTGGCCACGATCTCCACCGCTGGGCAGGGAGCGGGGAGGGCGGACACGGAGGAAGTCGCGAGCGGGAACAGCAGCACCCGAGCAACTGACACGGGTCCACCTCCACCCTCTTCCCTCCCCCTGGTTGAGGAGGGGGGGGGGGGGGCAAGGGGACAAGCGAGGGGGTTCCGTATATCCAGGCGTCGTCCGACATGGCGTTCTCACCACGCGCGGCCCCCCCCGTGGCGAGCTCCTTCGCCCCAGATCAAATATTGGTGTCCCTGGGGCTAGATAGCGGGCCCCGAGGCCAAAGTCGATAAAAAAAACGGGATTGAAAGAACACATCGTCGGAGATCTTGGCAGGTGGCCTCCCCGAGCTCAAGTCCTCGCCAGCGGCCTCGCGGCCCAGACTACATCGGCCGCGGCCTCGCGGATGCAGGGGGCGACGCTGTGCGGACCCCCCGCACGGACTCCCCACGGGGATCGTGCATCCACGGAACCGCGCCAGGGTCCAGACCGCAAGGGCATGGACATGAGCAATTTCTTCTGGAGACGACTGAGGGCAATTCAGCCCAATCAATTGCTCCGAAATCCATAAAATGGGGTGGACTGTGTTTTTGAAGGGGGTATGATTTGAGCTGTCTTAGAGGGTTCTGGGGGGTCTGGGCAAAAGACTGCCCTTGCGTGGCTGGTCTGGGGGTCTAAACTTGTTCGTCTAGGAAGGTTGTGACCCTACCCCTTTATCTACCCCTTTATTTCGAAACCCGGAGTGAGGACACATGGCGACTTCTGGGAGGTCTTCGTGAGCACGAGCATCGACTATAGCAAGCCTGGCTTCTGGAATTGAGCCGAGCGAAGGGGATTAATCATCAGTGGAATGAAACGGCAGTCTATGCTGGATCGGACCAGTCTTCAGCCACGGATCTACCAGCGCCGATGCTGAATCTAACCTCCCAGGAGTGTGGAGCCGGCTGGGGGGGGTCTGAGCTAGATGAGTCCCGAGAAAAGATGACACAAGAGGGGATGAGCGCAGATCCGCTCAAGATCTGTCCGCAGACCCTTCCGAGGGTCAAAACTGACCAGCTTGTAGAGCCGCGTCGCGCTGTGGCGACGAGGGGGGCGCTTTCTGGGGAAACCCAGAAGAACCGACACCGCGCTCCGACCAGGATTTCGAGGCGAATCCAGCCGTGGCGGCGAGGGCCTCCCAGGAGGCCCAAAAAAGGGGAAAACGAGGGAAGGGTAATGGTATGGTGGGGCCAGGCGAAAGGGGGGGATAGCAAAGGGGGAGGTTCAGAATCAGCTCACGTAGATGATTTTCCCGGCGCCGGGAGGCGCCCATGTATCGAGCAATGGGCCCGGCGGCGGGGCCGAAACCAGCTGCATGCAGCAGATTTCCTAACCCCCCCCTTTCCCTATCCCCCCATTCGTTCGGCCCGATATGGGTACCTTTTCCTCCTTCGACTTCCATCCACGTTTCTGCTGGCCGGAGCCAGCGCTGGGCCACATCAGCCCCCCAGCCGGCTCCAAGCCTGGGGCGCGCTCGCCGCTCGTGACGAGGAGCGGGGCCGGGGCGGTCGGAGGACGCGACAGGCCCTCTGCCCCCCCGTCTTGGACGCCCGAAATGGGCACGGAAACAATGGGCACAATGCCCAACAGCAAATGTTGTCCCGAACCAACAGCGGCCGCTGCTGGGCAGGCGGCCCTCTGTACCAAATGCACACAGGCCGCGGCGACACCGACAGCGAGTCCTGCTCAAAATACACAGGAACTGCGGTTGGGCATTGTACCCATTCTTTCTGTACCCATGTCGGTCGTCCCGACGCCCGTGAGCCCCGCGCCCTCCCAGCCGGCAGCCTTCTGCCGTCGGGGCTCAGGGACATACTGCGGCGGGGGGGGGGGGGGCGCTCGGGTGGGGAGAGAGGGGAGGGGCAGTAGCAGGGAGGAAGAAGAAGCAACTGCATACAGATCAACTGTTGCAGGTCCGCGTGGACTTCTTGGATCGGAAAGGGGGGCGCCGGAGGCGCCGTCAGGGGGTCCAGCGCGGATCGGAGAAAGCAGCGCGGACCGCCCCGTCGAATCAGAAGCTTGTGCAGCTGCTTCTGATTCGTCACGAAGGACGACGGAGGCGCCGGCCCTCTCCACCGCCTCGTGGCGCCCGCTTCCGCTCTGCGCCCCGGCCGCTCTCGCCAGGGGGCGTAACCAGGCTTCGCTGGCGCTCCGCGCCTGCTTTTCGAGCAGCCAGGGCAAAGGCACCCTGGGGACGACGGAGGAGGAGGACGGGGAGGAGGAGGACCAGTGCCAACCCAAGACTCATCAACGATGTTGCCATAAACCCTCCCTCCAAGTTCCCTCCTCGTAGGTCAACACGAAGATTCATTGGACTGAGGGAAGTGCCCCGCTGGAAGACAACCGTCTGAAAATAATCCTGAACCACCATTCCTGGGAATTCAACGCTGCGGACGATCCTGAATCGTGCCGAACGCAAGTCCTGAGACTTCAACACCGCGAATCAACATAACTGGTGCGCCCTGACAGTCATACATGTTGCCAAAACACCATTTTTGGAACGTCATCCATAAGAACATGTGGAACTGATGTTGAAAATATTGAGAACGAATGTGCGCGGCGACAAAGCGAGAATCACATGTTCAGAAAATACCGCCCTCCATGCGTGAAACAGCTGCAGATTTTTTAAAACAAACACGCGCGCGCGAAGACAATAGTCTCATTTTGAAAAATACCACCCTCCGTCCGTGAAACGCTGCGAGCTTTTAAAACGAATGTGCGCGGCGCTAAGGCGAGAACCACATTTTGACAACGGCCCGCCCGCTATCCGTGAAACTGTTGGACACCGTCAACATAAATATCATGAACGGCGGTCTTCTCAAGCAAAACGCCCGGCCCGCCCTGCCGACACGTCTCGGGGTGCGACAGGGAGGAGTTATCTATAAGGAGGTAAGGATGGAGGAGGAGGAGGAGGAGGACGAGGCGAGGGAGGAGCAGGAAACGGACGGACGGACGAACCCTCCCAACGTGTCGGGGCGCGGTCCCAGCAGGAACGGAGCAGTGGCGTCGTGGCGCTGAGCATCTGGACTGACGACACTTCAGCGTGAGCATGGTGCCAGAAAAGGACGGGGGAGGAGCATGAGGAGGAGGAGGAGCAGGAGGGAAAGGAGAGAGAGGAGGAAGAGGAGGAAGAGGAGGAGGAGCAGGAGGAGCAGGAGGAGGAGGAGGCGGGGCGAGGAAGAAGGGGAGGGAGGACGACAAATTCTCACCGAGGCCTGGGGCAAGGCCGACAAGCAAAAGCGACGACGACGGTGACGAAGACGACCGACGACGGCGAGGACAACGAAAGACACGGAGACGACGGCGACGACGACGGACGAACGAACACAGGGACGGAGGAGGGAGAGGAGGATGGGAGAGGAGGGGAGAGGAGGAGGACACGACGAGATGGGGAAATGTCGCGCAGCGCGCCAGGCAACCACCCTCAAACTGGAGGCCCACAGGGAGGACCTCCGTCGCTTCAAAGGCCGCCTCAGGCCCACCAAAAGATCACGGCCCGAGGCGTGAGCGAAACAGTATGCTACCGTCGATGGCCCACAGGGAGGACCTCCGTCGCTTCAAAGGCCGCCTCAGGCCCACCAAAAGATCACGGCCCGAGGCGTGAGCGAAACAGTATGCTACCGTCGATGGCCGCAAAACAAAACATGCGCATGGCGGTGCAGCAGAGAAGTGAAGTCTGCAGGGCGCACTCGCTGGTGCGCCTCTCTCGCACCTTGATCACCGCCTTAGGCCATATAATCGGTGGGCCCGACGTCAAAAACAATTCTAGCATGCCTGAGTCGGACCCTGTGCGTTTCAGGATCGGAGGCGAGCATGGGCCTGGGGAAAGGAATGACACGCCAATTGGGCCGCCCTTCGTCGGCAAGATGCCAACCCCCGAGGAAGGGCTTCCTATTCCGAACCGCACAAGCCGACATCCGAGCGAATTCGACAGGACTGCCGTCGACCGAAAGATGACCCGCGAGGCCAATAGTGTAGATCCCACACCTAACGTTAAGTCGGGCATGTCCCCCTACAGGCGGATTTGGGGCGACGAATACTCACATAATATACAGGAATAGCAAAAAAGATACTCAAAAAGCGTCCCCTGACTATGTTTTTACTATGTTTAAAGATTCCCCCCGTATAAGGACAAGCCCGACTTAAACCTAACGCACAACACAACATGTTCAGGGGAGGTCCAGCACCCGGGGACATGGCACAATCCAACTGCACGACACAGCCAACCGAGCTCTCATCGACGACGTGCCCGAGGCGCATCACAACGACTTGCTGGACAAAGACCGACCAGGGCAGACACCAATCGAGATCGGAGCATGGACCACCTCCAAGCATATGCACTACGTAAGCTAGCAGCACAAAGGATAGTACTTGAAGACGCCAAGCAGTATACCAGCCATCTAAAAACACTAACCGTCATCAAGCGACAATCACTGGAAAACCAGTGCTGGCACACGCCTTCTCCTCCAAGCCCCCTCCACCGCCCCGTGCCACACAAGCTCTCACCCACCCCATGCATCCCTCTCCCACAACACCTCCACCTTCCTTCACCATTCCCTCCTCCACTCCTGCTCATCCTCATCCCCACACCACTTCCCTGCTCATTATTCCCAGATCCTTCCCCTTTCACGTCTCCCCAAACCCCTCTCCATCCCTCAATCCTCCCATCCATTTCCTCGTTCATTCCCACATCCCTCCTCTATCGCATCCTCCCTCCTTCACCATAGCGTCCCTTTGGCTCTCGCCCTTCCTATCCCAACCCCTCCCCTCCCTCATTCCCCTTCCTTCCGTAGCCAGTTTGGCTCAAACCATGTTGGCTCAAGTTGCCATTTGTCAAGGCAGCTGGCCAAGACAGCTTGTTTGGCCACTGGAGGGGCAGCCCAGGTCAGGCTCCTCAGTGGCCCTTCCTGCGAAGTGTGTGAGCTCCTGCTGGAGCATTTCCACGATTCCGTGCGTTCCATTCATCGCGCCATGCCTTGGCGGTCCTGGCACCGTCAGGCGCCGTGGCGGACGGGGCGACGCAAGCAGTATGGCGACGAGTACGACGTGTGCAGTGTCTGCTCGCACTGGGAGTTCAAGTTCTACGGCAATGCGTGCTGCACGGTGTGTGGCGGTGCATACTACCATCGGCTTCCTGCTGGCGCTGGTGTTCCTGGTGCTTGAGGTGGCCAACGTGATGCGGGGCAGCCCGGTGCTCCACCTGCTGATCAATGCGATGCTCTTCGTGCTGCGGCGGCCCTCCTGGTGGCAGCCCAACCTGGTCTACGTGGTGGGTTGGCGGCCTTCTTCCAGGCTCCGCCGCCCGCTGCGGTCCCATGGACGGCCTCCCAGCTGGCCAGTGCGGCTTCCGCGGAGCGTACTCGGCTGGCTCGGGTGGCGGAGGATGCTGCCAAGGCCGTCAGGCTTGCCAATCAAGATCTGCAGCAGAAGAAGTCGAAGTACACTAAGCTCGAGGAGCAATTGCGTGAGGTCCGTGCTGGTCTCGAGCAGTGTCGCGAAGCTGTTCGATTGGCTGAAGTGCGCAAACTGGCGGCTGATGAGGAAGCTGGCCAGTTCAATGAGGACGCGTGTGCGGAGAAAACGAAGAAGATTGAGCAGAGGCAAGCGGAGGTGGGCGCTCGCGCTGCCCAAGATGCTCAGCGTGACCAGGCACCTGGGGCTGCTCGCGGAGCCCCACCAGTCAGGGCTGGCGCTGAAGGTGCTCCTGCGCGACCTGAAGGTGCTGGCGGGCAAGGTGCGGCTCCTGCTGGTCCTCAAGTACCTGGTCTTGCTCCCATGGGGCTGGTCGACTTCGGCTGGGTCGAGCAACACCTGCACACCCTCGAGGAGCAGGATCTCGGCCGCTTTGAAGGGCGGTCCGCGGTCAACATGGAGCAGTGGCGCAACATGCTCATGTGGGCCAAGTCCCAGAAGGCAGATATCCCCATGGAGTTCGATGGTGACATCAGTGATGCTGCCACTGAAGTTTCTGATGTGGGTGAACTGCGTGATCTACGCAAACGCGCTGCAGAGCAAGGACTGGGGCCTGCTGACTCCAGGAAGTATGGTGAGTTGCTCCAGGCCGCCGCCACTGCCCGTGCAGGCAAGCGTGCTCGCAAGGCCGTCCAGCAGCGGATGTCCTCTGCGAACCGTTTTGGCACCTCTTGTAGTGCAGCGGCCCCCCAGCTCCAGTCCATTCCCCCGAACGCTGGAGGCGCATCGGGGAGTGAATCGCAGCTTTAGCCAGCGCGCGCCCGCCGAGTGGCGGCGGGCCAGGAAGAAGCGTGAGAAGATCAAGGTGTGCTTTGCGAACGTTACCTCCTGGTCTGTTCTCACGAAGTCCTACGTGTCGCAGTCTGTGTCCGAGGTTGATGCCTCCCTTCTCGCTGAGCACCATGTGCGGGCGTCGGCCCTGGGCAATGCGAAGAAGGACGCGCGTGCTATGGGGTGGGCCCCACATTTTCAGGCTGCTCTCGATTCTCCCGGGGGGAGGCACTCATGGTGGGGTGGCTTTCCTGGCGCAGAAAGGTTTAGCGTTTCAGAAGTTCCTGACTCAGCGTTCTGGGCTCATTCAGGTTGGCTGCGGGGCCTGCTGGCTTTTCCTGGAGCTGAAGTTAGACGGGCACTCTATCGCGATAGGTGTCTGCTATTTGGTGGCCTCCATCGGCATGGCTGGTGAGAATCTGAATCGAATGCGCGATATATGTCAGTTAGTTCGGACCCTGGCGGTCCCCTGGATCCTCCTGGGCGATTTCAATAATGACCCTCAAGGGCTGGCTGATTCTGGGGGGTTTGAGTAGACTCGATCCTGCCCCTCGGTTCCAAAAAACGTGGAGTTCACCCGTGACGCGGGTGAGACGATGATCGATTTCTTGGTATGTTCCAGAGACGTGTATTGCGCCCTTGATTTGAAGGCAGTCTTGGCGGCCCCATTTAAGACGCACGCACGCCTGCTGGCTGAGATCGACGCCGACGTCCTTAGCATGGAGGTCACCAGGCGCGTGAAGTGTCGTGATATTCCTCGTGCATTTGGCCCTGATCATGTCTGGTTGTACTATTGTAATATGGCGCTTAAGGATGACCCTCAGGTTCTGATTCCTGGAGATGTGTCTGGCGCGTTTCTCAGGCATACCTCGGAAATCCTTTCTCCTGAGCTCTCTCGGGCTTATGCGGTGTGGTCCAGGTCCGCGGAGTACGCGTTCGCTTCCAGAGCCTGTGCTATGGTGGATCTCCAGAGAGCTCTTGGGAAGGGGCGTGGGGTTGGTTACTATCTCGGGGTCTCTGAGGCGGCGTGGGGCTAGGCAACAAAGTCTCTCATGTTGGTATATTTGCTTCTGGTCCCTGGTGCATTCGCGGCTTTATGGGTACTTGAAGTGCCTCCGCAAGACCCCTGGGAGTAGGCATACCTTGGACTTGAAGAGTCTGCTCAATCGTTTGTCTAATGATGTTTACGTATTTATTGAACCCTTGGATGAGCCTGGAGATGCTACCTGGTGGTCTGGGGCTCTGGCTGGTGATTTGAGTGCCCTTGATAGCGTTCAGGACATGGTCGACAAGGCCACGCATATTTGTAGTAAGGCGTGGGCTAAAGCTCGTTCTGGCACTGAAGCTAGAATTCGCGAATGGCTTCGTGCTTGTCTCCCTGGTGGCGCTCCCAAATTGCACCGGTGGTTGAAGGCCAATGATCGGGTCACGGTCCAGTTCTTCAAAGGCTTTAAAGATGTTGCGCAGAATCCCAAAGATATGATGGAGCACCGTGAGCACTTTTGGGGAGGTTGGTGGACCCCTGATAGCGTGCGGCGCCGTTTGCTGGAAGAGTCTCTTGGAGAGTTGCGGGCTTCTGCGCAACTTGCGGCCATGGAGGCCCCTGACCTTGAGGTGAGAGACCGAGCGCAAGCCTGCCATTGTTTTTCTGCTACGACGGCACTTGGAGTTGATCAATGGTCTCCTCGCGTTTGGCTGTCTTTGCCTCCGCATGCGCTGGATGGGGCCCTCCAGATCTTCCAGCGTGTTGAGCAGGAGCTGACGTTCCCATCACAATGCTTGTTGAATAGCATGGTCACGTTGTCTAAGAGTGAGTGCGATGAACGTGCAGTGTCTAAGTGTTCTAGATGTTACAGAGTGTATGCTCGAATGCGTGGTGGCATGATCGATGATTGGAATAGGCAGCAAACCGATTTTTTGGACTGCGCAGTCCGAGGTTCGTCGGCACTTCAGAGTGCCCTGTTACGCGCCCTGTGCTTCGAGGTGGCTGGCAATCAGTCTTTTGAATCGCTGGCCGCCCACTGGGACATGGAAAAGTTGTTCGACAGCGTGGTTGTCTCCATGCTTGTGCAACTGGCTTTGAAGCTAGAGTATCCTCCGATGTTGTTGTACCTGGGGATCCTTGTGCATTCCTCTCCTCGTGTTTTGGAAGTTGAAGGTATGCTGTCCAAGGTTATCCCCACAGGTAATTATATCCTTGCTGGTTGTACGCAATATATGCCTTGGGTGAAAGCCTTGTTGCATGATGTCTTGCACCGTGCGCACCACCGCCTTCCGCATGTTCCTGTGCAGTCGCATGTGGATGGCATTACGCAGTTTGCGCTTGGCACGAGTAAGTATATCATGAGTGTGGTACCGTCTGCTGTGCTCCAATTCTTTCGTGACGTCACTGCGTGTGGGTGCAAGGTCTCCACGAAGAGTGGAGTAGTGGCATCCTCTGCGTCCCTGCAGCGTGCTGTAGTTGATGTTCAAGCGGATGGGTATCCCTGTTCGTGCCTCCGAGGCCATGAAGGACCTTGGAGTGATGTCGACGGCTGGGAAGAGAAGGTGTGCTTGGAAGGTTAGATTGAGGAGGAGGACGGCTTTCAAGAGAGCCAGGAAGTTGCAGTACATGGCTAAATTGTGCGGGAGGTCTCGGAAGCTGTTCAAACCTGGCGTGTTGAGTGTCGGTACTTGGAGTAACAGTGTCTTGGGATTGCCTGTCTCAGAGGTCCAGTCCTTCCGTGCTTCTGCTGCTAAGTGTTCGGGCTTCTGGTCTCCTGGGATGTGTACCTCGACCGCGTTGGCTATTCGCCATCAGTATGCCGACGACCCCTCGTATAGACTCCGAAGAGAGCAGCTTGGGGCCCTGGCGTGCATTTGGAAGTCGTTACCCCTGGGCCTTCGGAATGGTGTGATTCGGACGTGGACCTCTGTGCGGGTTAGGCTGCTCTCTCTGGCACCCAATCGTCGCTGGGCGACGGTAAAGGGCCCTATTGCTGCAATGGTGGCTACACTTTTGGATCTAGGCTGGGAGCCCCTGTCCCCGACAAGATGGAGAACCCCCATGCTGGTGCTTGATGCTGAGAAGTCTGATTTCCTGTACTTCCTGGATGTATGTGTGGACCATACGGTTTCTTTGAAGAACTGGACGGGTGCCAGCAAGCACTATTGTGGGGTCGGTGCTGATGAAGGTTTCGATTTTACTGTGTTCAGGCGCATGTATAGGAAGCTTGTGTCCGACGGCTTCCATCAGGATGCGGCGCTGCTGGCTTGCATTGTATGTAGTGGATGTTGGCCCGAAGCACGACCTCGGCAGGCTGGCTACCTTTCTGACGGAGTCTGTCCTCGATGCGGCGCTGGTCAGGAAACAATGATGCATCGTGTCTGGTTCTGTAGTTGCAATGATATGATTGAGTCCACTGGTATGAGTCAGTCTGCACATGTGGTTCCTGATGCTCAAGATGCCGCGCGCACGTGCCCTGAAAGTGCCTTCTGGAATCGAGGGCTCCCTACGTTGGCTGCCGCCGTCAATCGTGTTCCGCCGCCAGTATCCTTGGCCTTCGGATGGGGTGTCTGATCAGCTGGACAACCTGTGTCTGGAGGCGTATGGGGCCTTGGTGGCTCTGGGGGGAAACACGCGGATGACTGGAGACTTCGGAGGTGCGGTTGGGCCATGGTGCGTATGGATGGTACCTCGGGTCCTGGCGATTTCAGATGTGATGGAGTCCTTTGTGGGACGTTACCTACCCGTGAACAGTCCAGTCCTAGGGCTGAATTATATGCGTTGCTCCAGCTGCTGCTCATGACCACGGGCAACGTCGTGGCGTACTCGGACTACGTCCCCTTGGTCAGGGCCCTCCGCAGGCCTGGGGATGTCGAATTGTTGTGGACAAAGGCACATACTACGGCTTCGTTGCGTGACGCCTGGGGCCTCAGCGAGGCCGAGTGTTTTTTGAATGCATGTGCTGATTAGTTCGTTGGGGTGGCCGCTGCTAAAGGGGAGGTAGTCCCTGAATATGTCGAGCTAATTCAAGATGTCGATTTGCTAACCTCCCAAGTGTTGTGCCGATTGCTTGACGTCAATCGGGAGGTTAGCCTCACTTGCCACCGCAACAAGGCCTAACGCGTTGGTAGGCCGCCACCTCGTCCGAGGTCGCTGCCCACCGATGTGGTCCGTCGGCGGCGGCTGCTTGGGGCTGGCCATTCGGTCAAGTCTGCTAAGAAAGGCCTGTTGCGGTGCCAGGTGTGTGGACGTAAGTTTAAGGCCTTTGTGGGCCGCCTCGCCGAATCTTGGCCTGGGCGATGTACGGGCCCTCCTGCACTGCGCGATGGCCCCGATGCGGTCATGGCCCATCCGTGCTGGTCTCGGGTGCACAGCAGCCATCAGTTGCACTGCCTGCGTGGCGTGCTGTTTTGCAGATTCTGCGGTCGGCATTGCGTGGACAAGGTTCAAGCGCTGGCCGAGCGGTGCCCACCTGAGGGCCCCACCAGGGCGGGCCGTGAGGTGCTGTCCCGTTTGGGGCGAGGCCTCCCTCCCAAGAGTGGAATGAGGTTCCCGCCTGGGCACTGATTGAGGGATGTGGGTCTCCGTTTATCGGAGAGGGCCCAGCATTGCAAGGTCAAAAGGTCTCCCTCATTCCCCTTCCCCATGTTCTTCCCTGTTCCTGCTAGTCCTCATCTCCCTCCCACTCCCGTCTCACACCCACCCCTCACCTTCAATTCCCAGTATTTCCCCACCCCTCTCCGGGCCCCGCCCCTCTCCGTCCCCCCCTCCCCCTTCCCCTTCGTCATCCGCCCACAACGCGCTTCCCCCTGTCCTTCCTCTTCCAATTCCCCTCCCCTGCCCTTGCTAGCCACATGTGTCCCCTCTTGCTTACCCTCCTCCTCCTTCCTTTCTTCCTCCAACTCCTCCTCCTCCTCCCCCTCCTCGTCCTCTTCCTCCTATTCCTCCTCCCCATCCGCCTCCTCCCCGTCTTCCTCCTCGTCCACGTCCTCTTCTTATTTTTCTTCCCATCTTCTCCTCCTCCACCTGATGCTCGTGGCTGCGTCCTGTAAAGCGAGCTGCCCACGTTGAACAAACTGACGCTGCCTGGCTGGCCCACGGTCGACTTCCGCACCTGGGCAGGCGAGGGACCAGAGCGAGGGCGGGAAGGAGGACGGTGGGAATTTCCAGAAATGTTGGCCCAAGGGCACCCCCCCTAGCGCAATCTCTGAGCCCCTAGGACCCCCCTGACCTAGTGGGGAGTGTTCTGGCAAGCACCTGGGCATCCCTGGAAACGCTGGGATCCCCTTCTTCTCCTCCTTCGCCTTCTTCTTCTTCCTCATCATCATGATCATCGTCATCATCATCATCATCATCATCATCATCATCATCATCATCATCATCATCATCATCATCATCATCATCATAATCATCATCAGCAGCAGCAGCAAAAGCAGCAGCAACAGCAGCAGCAGCCTCACCATCACCACTGAAACCACCATATCATCATCATCATCATCATCATCATCATCATCATCATCATCATCATCATCATCATCATCATCATCATCCTCATCCTCATCCTCATCATCATCATCATCAACATCATCATAATCATCATCCTCATCATCATCAGCAGCAGCATCAGCATCATCATCATCATCGTCATCATCATCACCATCACCACCACCACCATCACCACCACCATCATCATTATCATCATCATTATCAGCAGCATTATCATCATCAGCATCAGCATCAGAATCGGCATCGTAATCATCATCATCATCATCGGCAGAAGCGTCAACATCTGCATCATCATCATCATCATCGTCATCATCAGCATCATCAACAACATCGTCGTCATTACCATCATCAGCATCATCATCACCAGCATAATCACCATCATCAGCATCATCAGCGCCAGCATCAGCATAAGCACCAGCATCATCATCATCATCATCATCATCATCATCATCATCATCATCATCATCATCATCATCATCATCTGCAGGATCACCATAAACATTATCAGTATCATTATCATCGTCAGCATCATCTGCATCGTGGCCGTCATCCGTTGTCAACATCATCAGCAGCAGCAACTTCATCTTCATCATCAGCAGCATCATCATCTTCATCATCATCACTCTCAATATCATCATCATCATCATCATCATCATCATCATCATCATCATCATCATCATCATCATCATCATCATCATCATCATCATCATCATTATCATCAGCACCATCAGCATCATCATCAGTATCATAATCACCATCACCGTCGGCATGATCATCGACATCTTCATCAGAATCCTCATCATCATCACCACCACCAGCA